GTTGACATGACATGGGCGGAGCGAGGGACTGCACAACGGCTCAGCTGTCGACTTCCCTAGAGGGCAACATGGATTTCCCCAAATGGTGTCATTCTCGAGGGTAGTAAATGGCTGAGCTGTTTTCATGCATCGCAGCATCTCACTCCACCTGAGTGACATTATTAAATAGAAATCTTCTTCCTCAAGAACGAATAAGTGAATTCAAAAAATAAAAATCATCATTTTGTTTCCATCACTGGTATATAAACAGTGTTCCTAGGTTGTAATCTAACCAAAGCATTTTGAAAATACAGGATAATTATTTTTATTTGAACTAATATTATTAATCTTGCTCCTTAACTTATGAATGTCAACCGTTTGTCAAGTAAACTTTTTAAGTTGCAAGATGATCAATTAACGTTTTAATGATATATTAAGTCAGTTTTTCTTTGACTCTTATCTTATTTTCAGATTAAGCATTGTGATTTTATCACCATGAGGGATGAGGTAGAAAATTCAGCCTGTACATCACATCAATCGTTCTTGCTGCTGGGGTGAAGGATAAGTTGGCTCCTTGCCTGAAAGTTTCATGTGGACCTTTTAAACCTTGCAATAAATCATCACCTCAATATTATCATTTATGTACTATGAAATCTAATGCCCTTATAGCTATCATTACGGAACGTAATACCGATATCTAAATGACAGACTGTATTTGTAGTGGTTGCAGAAAAAAAATATGTTAGAAAATTGAAAAACCCAAAAGACACGTAAAAAGAAAGAATTATTTGTTTTTTGTTCCATTATGACCGTTGAGTTGATAAATTATTAAGAGAATGTGAATGTGAATTAGAATAATTCAATGCTGCATTTTCTGAAGAATGCACTTCACTTCCACCTACTATACCTTTATGCATGAAACATAGATTTGAATAACACATTTTGAGCAATCTAGAAGTTATCGTTCCTGTTCTGTTTGTGAAGCATTACTGACTTCTGATGACAAAACATATACCTGTAAAGATATTCCTGAAAGTGAATTGAAAAGATTGGGTGATATAAATGAAGACTTTTCAGGAACACAAGGTCACCATATATGTAGACCGTGCTACATGTATTGTATAAAGAAAAGTAGTGCTAATAAAATGTCACTTAGAAGTATGGAAAGTTCGCATCAGAGCCGTGTGCTTGCATCAGATTCTGACGAAGACTTTTTACTCAAAATTCTAAATGTTTATCTGTAGACTGTGTCTTGAGGATGGTTATTTTTTTTTTTTATTCATAACTGTTTATGAATATTTTTCTAATCTTGTCTCAAAAAAGATGTTGTGATGCGCTGCAGTATGACCGTGTAAATAAAAGTCCATTATTTGTAAAGGATACGATTATATACACCAGTTCGGTGAGCTTTTGATTGTACATAGAGGTGCTGGTAGGAGGGGAACATTTTTTTACAGTACAGAGATGTCTCATGATTATGTTATACGTTCATGGCATATTTCAGTTTCTAAATTGAGATCATTACAAATTGACAAGAATAGTGCCCAAGATGTGCCCGAAAGACCATCCTTTTCCTCACAGTTTAGTTCACCTTCAGAGGTGAACATGCAGTTCCGAAATGTTGTCAATAACGGAAATGAATTTCTCTGTAAACAGGCGAAACATGCATGCACTTTAGTTGGAATATTTAACTAATCCTTTATCTGTCACTGATTTTAACTTTGACAATGTATGTTGCTACTACCGGTAGTGCATGTTCACCTTGCAGCCTGTGTTCTTTCAGCATTTCTTTCTTTTGCTAAATATAGAAAACCACTTACCAGTATGTATTCATCACATGTATGAATGCAAACCAGTGTTATGCACAAAACTCTTTATCTGATTTAATGCTCCTTTTTGTTTGTATTACATATTATATTCTTTTTTGTTATAATAGTTTATGTTGCACACTTACCGTATTCCCAGTACAGTCTTCTAATATATATTATGGCAGAATGTAGCATGTACATACATGAGCAACTTAAGTTAGTCGTGTTATAACATTATTCATTGTAACTTAGGATTTTTGTATTTTTCGTGCATTAGTGCCTTAAACTAGCCAGTACTGTGTGTGTGTACCAGCTGGACTAGCTTATGAATAATAATAACTGCCAAAACATGTATTTTTTAACCTTGCCAAGTTGTCTCTTGTATTCAAAGAGAAATTAAAAAATTTAAAAATTGTTCGAAAGAAACATCCCGTTTGTGTATATGCGTGAACTGTATGACTGATCAGAGGACTGTGTTTCTTTATTGAAGGCGTTACTTTGTTGACGGGATCTGTCAACCTCAGCCCTTTGCAGGACCAAATTCATGAGTGACTTCAGTTTGCCTTGTAAACAGCTGACTTGAATATTGCTTTGCCCTCCGAATTTCAAAGGTTTAAAGGGAAAATTGCCCCCGTGTATTTTAAACTTATTTATTTGTGTGTAGTGTCAATTACTGCATTGGACACCGACATGTTCACATATCATTTCTTGGGAAGAAAAAAACAACAATTAAGCAGAGAGATATTGGACTTTATATTCCTGGCGTATATAGTCTATAGTATAAAGTGCTATATTATGTTTTGCAACTTTGTACTAGCAACTGTGAATAATGGGATTTTGATTTTTTTTTTTCTTCAGGTGATAAATTCGATGACAATTGCATTTTGCTCAAAATCGCCTACCCACACAGCTGAACTCGCTGATTCAGACATCGGTGAAGTCGTATAATTTCGTTACACAAATTTGTATGGGTGGGCGCATACTATTCTTCAAATTGAAATTTCTTGAAACGAACACTAAATTTTCCAAAATCAAACGTATCACTGCCCATAGTCAATCTTAGTAATCGATAAATACCAAGATAATTACATGAAATGGGGTTAAAATGTTGAAATAACGCCTTCGTGCCTGGAAAACAAACCGCAAAGTCACAAGTTCGTTCACCTTTGACGAATGGTCGTTCGGTAGGTGATCGGAAATCTTCGTATTCATGTATCTTCTTAATGTGGAACTATTTTAAAAAACCTTGAACTTGACTCGTTCGAATAATCAAATAACCTGATCTTCACACCATACAAAGAATGTCTAAACTCTCCAAAAATATAAAGATTGATGAGGTTTTATACGTTTTTTATGCATTTGACTTTCATCATAAACTCGATGAAAATACGGAAAAGGTAAGCTTGTATTTGACAGGAAATATTTCATAAGGTAATGGACTCCAGTTTATTTCTAATTCAGATCAATGAAAGAGCAGTTTCTTGTCTTCAATTTGATCGCTGTTTTCACGAAGTGACGGTAGTGAAAAAAAATTGCATTCACTTTGCGTTACGATTTTCCTCACTACCGTCACTTCGTGAAAATAGGGACGAATTATATCGTTCATGCTAAATGATAAGCAAGAAACCATTTTGTGTAGGTGGAAACAAGTCGGTGTTTTCAAGCTCGTGTGCTCATTACGTATTCATATTGACCGCTGGGCTTGCATACGACTACGATAAATACGGGCGGTTTTCGTGCAGCGGCGTACTTTTCCACCTGAATTTGGATCACATCCGACATCGGGGATATAGCCTCTTGTCGATGGCCCTCGCGTTGTTGGAGTCTGTAAATTCTCTCTTTTACGACTGGCCAGGGTTTGTGCTTGCAGACTACAACTAGGCGGCCAGTCTCGCTCTCACGGAGGGAATTCGCACAGAGCGGTAGATATTACGTCATAGTAACTCTCTCTGATTGGATGACTTTCACCGACTTCTCTTGGGTCGGAATATTCGCCAAACAATGTAAAACATAAGAAATTCAGATCACTTGTCAAGAGGCCCTCGCTCGCGCTCGGTTTCTCTGACTCGCTTCGCTCGCCTGAATTTACGGACTCCAACAAAGCGATGGCCATCGACAAGAGGCTACATCGGGGAGGACTTAATTCGATGTCGACGTCGTCGCTCAGTACCGTCTCTACGCTGTCAGTCTAAAATTATGCAGACTTCTCGTATGGTTTATGGTATCTTGCATGCGCGTAACAAAGAGCTAATAAAAAAGGTCACACGCAGTGATATAACTTATATGCAAAATATTATCGTTATTGCTTTGTTTTTGTTGTTTTGATGATGGTGGTGGAATTCCGGGGTTACGAGCCCGGGGTCGGGGGTGTCGATAAAAATCGATTTTTATTTTTCCTCACTTTTTGTAAATTATACTTTTTTTTCCCGTTTGTAGGACAATAAAGGGGGGGGGGGCAAGGCCCTTTTGCCCCCGATCTCCTTCACCTTTTTCTTTTTTTCTTCCCTTTCTTTCTTTCCCGTTCTCTCCTCTTTCAATTTCCCTTCTCTCTCTTTTTTTGCGGGGGAGGGGGGCAAGGGCCGCTCGCCGCGCCCCTATCTTCTTCTTTCCCCCTTTTCTTTTTTTCCCTTTCTCTCCTCTTTCAATTTCCCTTCTTTTCCTTCTCCCCCTCTCTCTCTCTCTCTCTTTGCGGGGGGGGGGGGGCTTCTTTCCCCCTTTTCTTTTTTTCTTCCTCTACTTTCTTTCACTTTCTTTCCTCTTTCCATTTCCCTTCTTTTCCTTTTCTCTCTCTCTCTCTCTCTCTCTCTATCTCTCTCTCTCTTTCCGTTGTACAATTACCCTTAGTGTGTGTTTTACCCTTATCTTGTCAAAGATAAAATACAAATAGAGCATAATATAAAATTCACAGAAATCATGGTAAAAACAACTCGTCATAATCGTCTTCAAGGGATTGGATTGTTTACCGCTAGACTAGGCAGGCCGTGTAAGCAAGGACAAATACAATTGACGACATAATTGGCGACGAAACCAGCCAGGCGTGAATCTCGTCGTGAATTTTATCGCCAATTATTCACGACGAAATTGACGATATCGTGAATTTTGTCGCCAATTTCGTGAATAATTCGCGATTTGGTCCATTCGCGATGTCCCTTCAGGGCCACCATAGAATAACGTGGATGGGATTCCCAAAGATTGCGCAATATGCCAGGAAGTATCAATTCTATAACCCAACTATTGCACTCGATAACAGAGCTGAGCAACTTACGCTACTTAGTATTGCGACAATACATCACATCACATCACAAATTGTTTTTTATGATTTGCCTAGGTGCAGAAACAAGTATTGTAGCTGCATTATACTCGAACATTAGAACAAATGGCGGCCCAATTAAGTGTGGAGAACCTCAATGAGAAATTAGTTTGTGCAGTTTGCCAGAATACTCTCAAGAATCCGAAACTTCTTGCATGCTTTCATGCATTCTGTGAGGAGTGTTTGAAACAGGGTGATCAAATAGAAGTGTGTTCAGGTGAGCTGCAATGCCCAGAATGTAGCAAGGTGACGGATCTTCCAGAAGAGGGCGTGGCAGGACTCGATTGGAATCCACTGGTTTGCAGGCTAGTCGAAGTGCTTCAGGCAAAGAAGAAGGCGAGCCACATCATGTGTGATGCATGCGGAGACAGCGAGTCACCTTTGACAACCTACTGCCGAGACTGTTTAAGTTTCATCTGCGACGCATGTGCTTCTTACCATGGAAAAATGAAACTCTTGTTAAAGGACCACCATACAGTTCCCCTGGACAAGATTATCAATGGGACTATCCAAATCAAGTGGATGGAAGAGGGCTTGTGGAGAAAGGCACACGAATGTGGAGATCATATCGGTGAGCTGCGGAGATTCTACTGCAGAACCTGCAAGAAACGTATCTGCAGGGATTGTATCGTTCTCGACCATACCAAACCTGACCATGACTGCACCACAGTGCAGAAGATGTTTCAAGAAACACAGGAGAAGTTAAAAGATCGTTTGAAAAGCTGCAACGAAAAGGAGGAACATGTGAGCACCATGTTAAACGATGTGGACGTACGAGAAACAGAAGCAAACCGGGAGTTTCATATGATGAAACAAAGTATTCGGGACCTCAAATCAACGGCTATTGCAAATATGAACAAAACAGAGCAAGAACTTTTGCAGAAGGTTGAAGTATTGGAGGAAAAGCTAAACAACAAAATACAAGCTTTCAGAGACAACATGAAAACAACAAAAGAAAATCTCACAAAGGCGCAATCAAAGGCTAAAGAGGTTGTTTCGGCAAAAGAGGTTACTGACATCTCTAGAGGTCCCTTCTTACCTGAAGATATTCTAAAAGAACTGGAAGAATTGATCGCGTCAGATGTCACTATGACAATTTCTAGGGATCTCATGACTCTGAAATCTACCATGATAGAGGGGTCGAAGTTGCCAGAGCAAATGGTGCGCTTTGCTAAGCTGACATTGCCGCATATTTGGCGAGAGACTCAGATGTTTCCAATTCCTGATGAAGACATTGTGAACATTTTCTGCGATGAAAACTCGATGTACGTTGCTTGCAAAAAGGGGATTTACAAGAAACTGTTGTCTAACAATGCCAACCCGTCCACTTGGATGAAGCTTCATCATAATGCATGCATCAAACAAGTGGTAGATATGGCCATATCAATGAAGGACCAAACCTTCTCTTTCATTGCTGAAACCGAGGCAGCTTGTACGCAACTCTTCAGGTTGAAACTGGATGATTTTCCAACATATCAAGGACACGCCGCCCCCTCGTCGTCCGTTCCAACGGTCGCACCGTGTCCTCTGAACGCCAGTGCAAGAATCACTGTTGATTCCCGGTCCCGCATCATTGTTGCCGATTACAATCCTAGTAAAACTACGGATCCAGCTCCAGCATCATTTGGCTCTAAACCTGGTCAACCTAATGCAGCTATGCCATCATTTCGAGGATCGTTTGGCTTAACATTTGGTCAGCCTAGTGCAGCTCCGCTTTGCTTTAAACCTCCTCAAGCTAGTGCAACTACGGCATCAGTTCCAGGATTATTTGGCTCTCTACCACGTCAATCTAGTGCAGCTATGGCACCAGTTCCAGGATCATTTGGCCTAACATTTGGTCAGCCTAGTGCAGCTCCGCTTTGCTTTAAACCTCCTCAAGCTAGTGCAACTACGGCATCAGTTCCAGGATCATTTGGCTCTCAACCACGTCAATCTAGTGCAGCTATGGCACCAGTTCCAGGATCATTTGGCCTAACATTTGGTCAGCCTAGTGCAGCTCCGCTTTGCTTTAAACCTCCTCAAGCTAGTGCAACTACGGCATCAGTTCCAGGATCATTTGGCTCTCAACCACGTCAATCTAGTGCAGCTATGGTATCAGTTCTAGGATCTTTTGGCTCTAAACCACGTCAATCTAGTACAGCTATGGCACCAGTTCCAGGATCATTTGGCTCTAAACCACGTCAATCTAATGCAGCTATGGCACCAGTTCCAGGATCATTTGGCTCTAAACCACGTCAATCTAGTGCAACTACGGCATCAGTTCCAGGATCATTTGGCTCTAAACCACGTCAATCTAGTGCAGCTACGGCACCAGTTCCAGGATCATTTGGCTTTACATTTGGTCAGCCTAGTGTAGCTTCGCTTTGCTTTAAACCTCCTCAAGCTAGTGCAACTACGGAACCAACTCCAGCATCATTTGGCTTTAAACCTGATCAAATTCCTAAGAGACCACCACCTGGCAGATTCTCTTTCGATATGATGCTACCTCAGCAACAGAAGGTCACAAGTATCTGCAGCTCCCAGACAGGTAAAGATGAGTTTTTCTCAATTTGTCGATTCCTTCTTATTAAATTTAGTCATATCAAGTATTATTCCTGTTCAATTTCAAATTAAAAATATAAAGCATACAAATGCAAATCAATGTGTAAAGGGTTGTAAACAGAAGGAAGATAACACTACAAACATTTGATACGCTATGGGGAGTATTACTGACGGTCAAATTGGATTTTTCATCCTTTCCAATTGATAAAATTTATATAAAACCGAAAACCTGGGGGAAGCATGCTATTGATAGTGAAGAATACAAAAAGTCCTATGAAACTGCATACATTTTGAGATGCTCTCTTAATGATACTAATACTACTACTACTGCTGCTGATACTACTAACACTACTATAAATTGTTATTATTATTTTTAAAAAATCATTATCATTGTTAGTATTGTTATTTTCGTTATGATGATGAAGTTTATTATTATTATCATTGTTAATATTATTAATTTCATTATCATTATCATTATTGTTATTATTATTATTATGATGATGATTATTATTATTATTATTAATTTTATCATCATTATAACGATCGATGCTCAGTCATTTATTATATTTAGATATCTTTACCTATCAAATTCCTGAAATTCATGGTGTGTGAGATACTTAGGTCAAATATATTTGCTTTTCACTGACCCAATGATGAAATGAAAGACTTATTTTAAAAGCTTGATGGAGACATCAAATTAATGTTTTGCTTCTAAATATCTCGATAAGGGGAAGGGAGAAATTGTCTTAACCATTTCACTTTTCAAGGTTTGTTCAGAAAATACACTAGCCCTTCAAGTGGTCCTAATTCAGATTTATGTATACTCGATTATCTTTTACAGCGTCTGCAGGCACTGGCAATGCAGAAAACAAACCTTCATCAACGGCTTCAAATGGAAAAGAAGGAAAACCAGAATTGGGGTTACCTATAACAAGAATGTCTACGACAATCTACAGGGGTAAGCCTGGGAAAATATCGTCTCCTAGCATGCAATGTGGCAGCGTATTGGGCCTAGGGTCATCTCAGTTATCTTTAGATAATTTCGAGGTTCCACTTGATAGGATTCGAAGTCTTGCAGCCGCCAAGTCAGGTCAGTTGGTGTTCCTCCGCTGGGATAAGAAAGCCGTCATCATCACTGACAAATACGGTAGAATCCAGCATGAAATTAAGGAACCTGGCAGGATGTATTTGTCCATCTCCTGCACAGAGAGTGACGCCCTCTACGTTCTGTCCGCCTTCTGGGGCAGCCACATCGTCACGCTCACCAAGCATTCATTGCAAGATGGTGGTCTTCTCGAGCACATCATCGACGAACTCGACGTTTCAGCAAACTTTCAGTCAGACGAGTGGCCAGTCATTGGTAACAATGGAAACGACCTTGTGGTCATCAATGTAGGTGATGAGATTCGTGTCTATGCGGCAGAAGAATGGGATTAGGTGACCATAGCGTTGAGGAGGATGGAATCAGTGATGAGAGTAATATCTAACCAATGTGATGCTCTAAACACATGTCCTGTAACACGAAACAACTAAGAGTTTTTTATATTATATTAATTCAGAGAGTAAGAAAACGTAGTACATGATGTACATTAGATTAGCACTTATATCTAAAAGACGAAATCAAATCCAAATGTTGACATTTAGTCACAATCGGTCCGTCTCTTTGTGTGTAGAGTAACTAATACAAGACACTTGGCAGGGAAAGGGAGCGAGGGAGATATAATCAGATTTCTTTTGGACTGGGGTGTTTGACTGAAACCTTCAAACACATACCCATGTTTAAGGGCCTTTTGGCTGGGAAATGTGAAAGTATTTCATTTTAAAAAAAAATCATGGTGATCCATGTAAAAGGCCAATATTTTAAAGTGGGTGCTATTATAAGGGATTTTCCAAAACACTATATCATACCCCGTGTTAGGGTTTTTCTTCGCAAACAAATTTAGAGACAGCACATGTACATCCCCGTATACCCTATGACGCGAGTACACCCCCCCCCCCCTGAAACCCCTGTAGAATAAGTCATGTACAGTATATGCCTATTAGATCGTATCGTTTTGTGCAAATATTGAACCGTCACACAAACAGATCTTTTTTTTAATTTGACTTTTCCAAATATTAAGACGCTTTAGGTTGGTTGTTCGGAGAATCAATATCATATGATATGTTCGTACACGTATCTATTTTGTGTAAATTTCGGCCGCTATGAAATATTGTTATATTCCCATATAGCCGTCATGTCATAAGAAGATATCTATGCATGTACGACAGATAAAAAAAAATTTGTGGCGGCGCTCAATAAATATTTTAGTTTCAACTTGTTACCTTACCTATACTTCATAGTATCATTGTTATTTTGCTTTTATAAAATGAATTTCATGTATAGTTTTTGTGAATAATGCAAATGTAAAGCTTTGAATTGTTAGCTTACCTTTAGTTCATATTTTCATTGTCATTTTGCTTTTATAGAATGAATGTCATAAGAAGATATCTTTACATGTACGACAGTTAAAATGTTTTGTGGCTGCGCGCACTGAGAAAAGAAAGCAATTAATCTTTAAAACAGTTTCTTGACTAGATTTGATTCTTAACAAAACATTAGGCGTATTGGATATATCGTGTGTAAATCATATTATTACTTTCTGATCATTTTTCAAAATGGACTTTCGTTCGGGGGGGGGGGTAATGTGTTGCCCCATTGTAAACAATTAGGAGTGTCGGTATTCCAAATCGACGATGTCATTTTCTAGTTAGACGTAGACTCTGCAATCTTTTATTTAATCGTACTCGGTTTTTGTTCCCGATTCATCTTTTTTGGAGTTGGCATACTTTGAATTATTAAACTCCAGTCATGATAGTGTAATATATTTTGAATAACATAAGAATGTTTTTTAGTTTCAACTTGTTACCTTACCTATACTCCATAGCAGTGGCGGATCCAGCCGGCGGGAAGAGGGGGGCCCAATCCATGAGAAAATATTAGTTAGGAGGCACTTTTTTTTGGTCCAATTTTTCAGGAAATATTTTGCGCCGACTCAGTCAGCCGGTGAATAAGCGGGGGGGGGGGGGGAGTTTGGGGGGAAGGGGTGAGACCACTATTTATTTTTTTTGGACCTAATTCGTGAGATTTTTTTTTTTTAATTCTTTTTGTGTTGTTGACCCGTCAGCCCCCCCCCCCCCCGTGGATCCACGCCTGCAGAGAATCCAGCCGGCGTCAAGGGGGGGGGGGAATAGCCAAATCTTTATACAAAATTTAGTGCCGTCTCAGCCAGCCGGCGAATAAGCGGGGGGGGGCGCTTTTGTTTTTTGTTTTATAAAGGTTAACTTTACGTTATTATCCTATTTTTTTTTATCGTTTTGGGGGGCTGGGGGGGGGGCCCGGGCCGGAAAAATCGCTACGTGGATCCGCCCCTGCTCCAAAGTGTCATTGTTATTTTGCTTTTATACAATGAATTTCATTCATAGTTTTTGTGAATAATGCAAAGCTAGCTTTGAATTGTTAGCTTGCCTTTAGCTCATATTTTCATTGTTATTTTGCTTTCAAATTCATAATGCAGTAAATTACGTTAGTCGTTAGATATTAAAGAACAATGAAAAAATGATGTGAGATTCGAGTGGTAATATTTTCTATCATGCCTATAGCTTATTAATGCATTGGCATCTTGTATTTAATACGTAATCCAGTAAATTCCGTTTTACTTGGTTGTAAATAGTGACTTTTCTTTATTTGTTAGAGGTAAAGCATCTTTAACACAACAATACTATAACCCATCGTTGCCCACATCATTCTGGCTGCTCATTTAATTGTACTTTATTGTTGCCTTGTTCCCAAGTATAATTATGTTTTCGGTTTAAATAATATAAAGCAGCCTACATCATTGTTTCAAGTCATTGATATCATGAATCATAACTCATGAATCATAATGTGTTTTTTGTTTACATCCCACGTTGTTCTTCTATCTTGGATTAAGCTTATTATATACCAACAATTTACCACGGGTAACCGATCGTCTCGAAATTCTACAAACTATAGATTATCAAATATCATTTTGGAATTTCAGTTTGTCGAGTTAAAAATATTGATCCTATTGTTAAAATAAACCAAAAGCTTTTGTTGCCTTTCTTTTAAATATTAAACGCACTTGCACGCTTATTGATTTTTTGCCTCTCATTTTCTTTTTAGAAATGGACATAATAAAATTCAGGAAGCGTGGCAAGATGTTATTACACGATTTTAAACATTTCATTCCCGCGTGATATAATGCCGCGGCCATACCTTCCCTAAATGGGGAAAATAGAATGAAAAGAATTAATAGCGGGCAGACAGAGAAAGAGAGATGGGGAGAGGTAGAAAGATAAGAAGATAATTAGAGGAAGAAAAAAAGAGAAAAAAGAAGAAAGAACTAGGATAGAGCGAGAAGGAGTGCATGTGTTTCTGTGTGTATACATGTGGGTGTTTGGGTGTGGTCCTGTCTTAAGAGAGAGAGAGACAGACAGACAGAATGGGGTGGGGTAGACAGAGAGATAGATAGAGAGAGAGGGAGAGAGAGAGAGACGGAGATGGGGTAGACAGAGAGATAGAGAGAGAGAGGGGGAAGAGAGAGTGAGAGAGAGAGAAACAAAAATTACTAGGGCGGAGAGGGGCGGACTTCAAAAATTATTTTTCACTTCAATTGTGTGCGATGATCTGACAAATCAGGTCGCAAGGCAAATGATTAAATGTTATTTATGGGAAATAACACAATTAAGACGGAGTTTTGAAAACAATATCATGATTAAAGAATGAATAAAATCTTAGAACATTAATTTATATAAAAAAAGTAAAAATTTTGACACGAGCGATCGGAGCGAGCGAGCTTTGGGAAATATTTGAGAACTAGATGGAATTCGACTGCGCGCAGTCGAAAATGATGCCTCCGTTATAGAGCAATTTTACAAACCAAAACAGAAAAAAAAAATTGAATTCACGTTCAATGGTAATCCATTGACAGGTTCTCAGAATATTGTGATTACAAGCAATTTCTCATATACATATATGACTCTTTGATCTTTGACCTCATGACCATAAAATCTACTCAGTTCATTGGCTCTGCAAAATGTTCTGAGTTAAATAGTAATCCATCTGTCAGTTCTAATGAGAATGCGTTCACAAGCTATTTTTGCATACATAATGGGCCCATGACCTTTGACCTTTGACCTTATGAACCAAGAATCTACTCAGTTCATTGGCTCTGCAAGTAACAAACATGACCTAATTTTGGCATGAATCCATCAATCGGTTCTTGAGATAACGCGATCACAAGCTGTTTTTGCATTCATAATGTGCGCTGTGGCCTTTGACCTTTGACCTACGTGCTCCAAAATCTAATCAGATTGTCTTCCTATGGTGATACACACTATCATTAAGTTTGAAGTTTAAATCTCCAGTGGTTCTTGAGATATTATGATAACAATCTCAATGTATGGAATTTCATAAGTTGACCTCTGTGACCCTTGACCTTTGACCTACTTGCTCCAAAATCTAATCAGATCGTCTTCCTATGGTGATACATACTATCCTTAAGTTTGAAGTTTTTACATCTCCAGTGGTTCTTGAGATATCATGATAACAATCTCAATGTATGGAATTTCATAAGTTGACCTCTATGACCCTTGACCTTTGACCTACGTGCTCCAAAATGTAATCAGATTGTTTTCCTATAGTGATACACACTATCACTAAGTTTGAAGTTTAAATCTCCAGTGGTTCTTGAGATATCATGATAACAATCTCAATGTATGGAATTTCATAAGTTGACCTCTGTGACCCTTGACCTTTGACATACATGCTCCAAAATCTAATCAGATCGTCTTCCTATGGTGATACATACTATCCTTAAGTTTGAAGTTTAAATCTCAAATGGTTCTTGAGATATCGCGCTAACAAACTCAATACAAGGAATTTCATAAGTTGACCTCTGTGACCTGTGACCTTTGACCTACGTACTCCAAAATCTAATCAGATCGTCTTCCTATGGTGATAAATACTATTCCCGAGTCTTAAGTTTAAATCTTAAATGGTTCTTGAGATATTGTGATAACGGTCAAACGGGACGGACGGACGGACGGACGTACGGACGGACAACCCGAAAACATGATGCCTCCGGCACCACCTTCGGTGGCGGAGGCATAAAAATATGTCTAAACCTTTATATTGAACAAAAAGGCATATGATTATCTTGGATTGTGATCGGATCACGTGTTCTAACGATCCAGGCTGATTACAATTGTGAAAATGTGGATTTTATGTTCCCCAGCGGGCAAATTTGTTTGGCCGAATGTATAAAAAATAAGTAATCGTGCACATTTCTTGAAAAGGTGTTTGCTAATTATATGTATAAGTTCGGCCAATTCTTGGTATTTTCCCTCTTAGAGTGTATGAAGAGTGACTGTTTCGAAGTCTCCTTTTGTGTCAGCGTAACTTTGCTGATAATAATGTTTCTTTTTAGTTATATACATCTTCCCATATATATAGGCGTACATAACTCAAATTTGGTCTATTCGCGATGTCCCTTCAGGGCCACCATAGAATAACGGCATTGGGTTTCGACCCTAATTAAACTGATTGATTGATTGATTTTTATTCGACAAGCTTCCAACATACAACAATATACAATAATAACAGATCAAAAATAAGTCAGCTTGAACAGGATAACCCACGAAAGCTCGAGAGCTTATTTCCAGTGGGGTCCCTTACAGACATGTATACAATTAATAAATTAAAATAGTAATATTTACAGACAGATAAGAAAATTAAAAGAACTACTTATTAAAGATAATAATAACAACATTAAACTGATGATAGAAATGATATTAAGTACAAGAAGAAAAAGAAGAAGGAGAAGAAGAAAAAGAGGAGAAGGAAGAAGAGGAAAATAATGATGAATTTCTAGAATTTCTATAAC